GGCGGGCCTCGGGGCTGTCAGCCGCGGCCTCCGGCGCCGGGGCGGGAGAGGCAGTGGCCATTGGCCGAGGCGCCGGCGACGGGGCGGGGTCGCTGCGGGCTAGGCTGAGCGAGCTGAGGCCGGCAGCCGGCCGGGAGGGCGGTTCGGGCTGCCGCACGCATTTCGGCCTGGCCATGGCAGCGGCGCCGCTGAAAGTGTGCATCGTGGGCTCCGGGAACTGGTGAGCGGCGGCGGGCTGGGGGTGCGGCTCCGCCTCCAGAGAACCCCTTCTCCCCGCGGCTGAGAGCTGCATGCCCCCGCCGTGCCGTGGGCACCGAGCTCCCGGCACGGCGTGGCAGGGTGACAGGGTGGACGACCTCGGGGCCAGGCTGGGCACCACGCGCCTGGGAAGACCGTGGGGAGGCTCCAGTCCTGGAGGCGCTAGGCCCGCGCGCCCACGGGGTTAGCGAGGGGAGAGGGCACCGTGCCCGCGGGCACCTGTCTGCGTCCTCGCCGCCGCGCAGCGGGCACACAGAGGCCACCTGCTCGCCACGCCCTGGAGGTGTGCGCAGCGCACTGAGGGCGTTCTGCATTCTCCTCCGCGGATCGCCTGGGTTGAGAGATTGGAGGAGGCGCGAGCTTCTTACTGTAGTTTTGGTGTTGGGGAAACCGAGGCACAGAGGGCTAAAAGGGCTCTTACTACCCGGATCTCGGGTGGAGTAGGCGCTGCCCTTGAAAGTGTAGTTCTTACTTCCGCTTCTGATATGTCCAGTATCTTCATATCTAACGTGTATCAGGAAGAAAATCCAAGTTCCAACAGGCCTTGTTGTCAAGGACGCTGAAAATTCTCTGAGATGTTTGCAAAGGTTTTCGTCTCCACTGGGGCTTTATTTGACTTTAACATTTATAAATGTCAGCTCTCTTAGTACCCTTTATCAGACGTACGTGGGGGACTTGTAATGTGTTTGAGTGAATGTAGAGGAGCATGGGGAGGAATGGAAGCAGAACACAACTTTGGCATTTTCAAGCTTTCTTCCGTTATTGTGTCCTTTTGCCACATCCACATCGGAGAGAGTGGTACAAAAGTTAAGAGGCATGGTGTTCTTCCCCTTTCAGTGCATGTGGCTACCTGTTTTTTCCTGTGGTCTGAACTCTCATCACATTTCAGGTTGCTGGGAGTGCTGCGGGAAATAATCCTAGGTATTTGACCTTAGTCCTCTTGCTTTAAGATTTGGCATAGAAAGACCTTGGAGGAAATACCTGGTTCTCCACTTTCCATCAAAAAGCCTCTCCCTGAGCCCTTACTGTTAACTTTGATCATTACCTTGAAATCATTTGTGTAATTATCTGTTTCAGCTTCTCCCCACCTAATTCCTGAGACTGGCATCTTACTCTAGTGCTTGTTATATGCTAAGTAATATGACTGAATATCTGAGAACTAATTCTTTGAGGGGTTCTGGGGGTTGAACCCAGAGCCTTTCACATGCCAAGAACATGCTGTACTACTGAGCCAAATCTCCAGCCTTCAAACTAATTTTTAAAACTATAATTGTCTTTGATTACACAACACATGCACGGAGCATGTGTGCTTGCCCACAGGGGTGTGTGTACTAGGAACTGAACCCAGCACACTGTCACTGAGCTGTACTTCCCAGTCCAGCATTCAGAGTTTTTGTTGTTGTTGTTCATGTTTCTTTGATTTTTGTATTGGAGAATGAACCCAGGACCGCACACTGAGGTACAATCCCAGCCACCACCACCACCACCACCACCACTACCCCCTTTTTAAAAAATTTTGAGACAGGGTCTCATCAAGTTGTCTATGTTGGGTTCAAATTTGCTATCTTCCTGCCTCAGCTTCCTAAAATGCTGAGATTACAGGTGTGTGCCACCATGCCCGATGAACATTGATGTTTTTAAAAACCAAACAATACCTCCAAAATATAGTGACATATCCCTTGTCTACATTTTTCCCCCTGGCTAACTCCTCTGGAAAAACCAGTGTTATCGATCTGTTCTGTCCTTTCTGGAGGGGGGGTTCCTTAGGTGCCAACTGAATGTTGACAAGTATTTGTTTCTCTGTCCACCCTGCAGAGACAAGCATATTACATGCTTTTTTGTATGCTAAAATTTTAATCAACAACAGAGAGTTCTATACAACATTTAATGAAGTAGTATGTGTCCACTACCGTCTCATTTGCTTTCGCCTTGGCTCTGCCAGCTCTGATCCCAAGGTCAGTGAGGTGTTAGCCGAACTGTTGGCCGTTCTACTGGAAAAGGGCTCATGTAGAAAATGTTCCTTTAACATGTTTCTTCTCCTGTACAGTTCCACAGCAGATAAAGGTAGCTTGCTCTGGTGGTGTAGGCCTTAGCAAGAGAAGAGTACTAAAAGGAACCTCTGCACCCTCCACTGAGATCTGGCTGCCTGCCCAGGGCTTCTTCACTCTGATGGATTTCATTGTTTTCTTGGCCCACTCCAGCCACAGCAAATGGAGTAGAACTAGCCAGTGATACTGAAGCAGAGCAGTTGAGAAATGTGCTGATGGTTTGGGCTGGCTGCCTGACTTCATTAATTACCAGATCTGATGGGATTGTTGTTGGCTTCTCTGTCACTACAGAGTCCAGAGCCACCCCAGAGTCCTAGAGAGAAAGGATCACAACGTCCTTAGAGATTCAGGAATACAGGAACATAAAACAACTTGGAGTGTTGAGCTGTGGCTTGGTGAACATTTCAGTGGTCTCCCTAGGTGAGTACTGTGGTCTTTGTGGGGCTAGGAGTACCCACAACACAGTCCCTGCCCTTAGGCCACCCACCTTCAGGTCTCAGATTAATTGAAAGATCAAGAGAAAAAGGATATCCATTACAAAGTTAGACATTACATTGTAGATAATATTTCTGAAACAGCATGTTGTCAGACATACTTTCCTCAGAGTTATCACAGAGACTAGATTTAATTACTTGAGGCTAGGACAGATTTTTGTCTGAGGACCTTGAATGTTTTAAAAACTGTAAAACAGGATGCTGGACCTACCTTTCCGGAACTGTCCTCACCTCAGGAATGCAAAGTTGCATAAGCGATATTTGTGCTTGGGACTATGAAATAGCTCCCAGTGCATATGTAAATAAAATTGTTGTTACTCATAAGTTCTGCACTGAGTACCCCCTCCTGTTGCTTGTCATCTCTGGCAGTGAATCCAGCTGGCTTCCCAGGGAGCCAGAAAGGACCTGGCTTGCGTAACGTGCCATTGTTCTGTCCTTTGGCGAACCTCCTCTGCTCTGGAGGGGTCAGAGAGAAGCCCTGTTACTGCAGCTGATCCCTGTTTTGCTGCAGCTTGCTGTGGTCTGGAGGGGCTGCTTAATTTGCATGACTTTTCATGGCAGATAACTTGGAAAAACAAAAGCTTGGAGAGTTTCTTCAAAGATGTAGCAAAATCTATTCACCAGTACCTTGGGAAAATTACCTAGAGACAGTAGAAATACAGTTCTAGAATTAAAACCTCAGGGCCTGTACTGGGTGTGTCCAAAATTATATCCCAGGGCTAGGGAGATGGCTCAGTAGAATAAGCACTTGCGTGGCAAGCTCAAGGGCCTGAGTTCAATCCCCAGTTCCACCAAAAAAAAAGTAGATGGCATAATCTCTTTGGGGCCAGGGAGATGGCTCAGTGGAATAAGCGCTTCCTTGGCAAGCGCAAGGGCCGGAGTTCAATCCCTGGTTCTGGAAAAAAAAAAAAAAGAAACAAACAAAATTATATCCCAGGCCTCCTTTGGAGGTAGGGGAGGACCATAGCAGGAAGAGTGGCATGGTAAGCCAGTAGCCTGGGTTTCTGTCCTTTCCCTGCATGGCATCTCTGGGGCCTGGGACAAACCGCTTTTCTGTATGGCTTCATTCTTACAATACTGGAATCACCTGCTTAGACTACTGTTAGGGTTACAGGAGGTGATCTGGGAGGAGAATGTGGTGTTAGCACTCAATTTCATCGTCTTAGAACACATCTGTCATGAAGGCACAAAATGGCACAGGCTAGAGTTGGGCCAGTAGGAGAGGCTGAGGAGAGAAGGGACAGCAGTGAGTAACTGGCTGTCAGTTGCAGTTTTGCAGGAGCTGCTGTCTCCCGTCCTCATTTTCACGTCAGCCCTGCATCCTGACATTGTCCCAGCCTGTGGGTCAGGAGAACCTTTGCCCACCTTGCACTGACGCAGATGCAGGGTGTGAGACTTGGCTCCTCACCACAGCTGGCGCCCACTTGCAGCTGCTGTCATGCTTCTTGTTGCACAGATTGCTAAGAACAGTCTGAGGGACTGATATTGCTCCTTTGTGGAAGACTCCTTTCCCCGTCAGCAGATGGCTCTTACACCCCTCTGCTCTGGGAGCTGGAGGGAGAGTTGGATGCTAAGCGTGAGTTCAACCTGAGCTAGGAGAAGGCTGGGCTGAGAACATTTGTGTAATTAAAAGCAGAAACTCCTGTTTCCATCACTTCCCCATTTGTTCAGTATAAAAACCACAAGGAATATTCCAGGAATAGGTATGACTTGCAGTTTTCTGAACCCAACCTCTTTGGGGGGTGGGAGCCTGGAATTGAACTCAGGACCTTGCACTTGCCAGGCAGGTGCTTGCTGTGCCACTGAGCTATAGCCCCAGGCCCCAAGCTCTTTCTTCAGTGTTCTTTCCTACTTCCTCTTCTTTCTACCAGGAATAATAATGATAATGATACGATAATTACCACTCATAGATGGTCTTTTGTGTGGCAGGTATGCACATTCTTTTACTTAAGGCTCATTACAAGCTTGTGTCATACAATTATCCCTATTTTAGATCCCAAGATTGAGATTAAATTTGCTCAGTCAAGAGTGAATAGGTGGAATTCAGACCTAGATCTTTCTTACTCCAAAGACTGTGTTTCTATAAGTTATTATCATTTATACTTTTAATTGAGGACAAATCTCATTTACATAAAAATGATGAGCATTTAAATAAAATTTCAATGTAATATTCTACTTTTGAGAACTAAAATTGAATGAAGCCTTAAAAATAGTTGTTCAGTTCCCCCCAAAGTAAATACTATATCTCTTTTCCTGGAAACAGGGCAGATGATAATAGTGAGTTAATTATCTATTTATTTTCTGGTTTTACTTTGAGAAAAAGTGCCTCACTAATTATTCTCGGTCAGCTTTGAACTTCCGGCAATTGTCCTGTCTCAACCTCTTGAGTGTTGAGATTATAGGCATGTCCCACCGTATCC